GGAGTTTAGTCTTCTTCAGTTTCTCCACCAGTTCAGCCAGAATGGTGTTTTTAGCTAAAGCAGGTCTTGGACTGAAGGTCTGTCTGCACTGAGGGCAGCTGTAGACGCTCTTCTCATCCTCCTGATCCCAGCAGTCTGTAATACAGATCTTACAGTAACTGTGTCCACAGGGAATAGTCACTGGCTCCGTCAGGAGATCCAGACACACTGAACACATGAACTCATCCTGAGAAATTCTGGCTTCTGCCATTTTACCGCACGAATACAGTCAATCCCGGGTCGTGTTTGCGTTCACAGAGAAGATCAACGCGCTGTGTGAAAGGGGCTAGAGAGACACAAACACACAACAGCTTAACAATAACGTTACTTCAGTTTCCCTGAACTGAGGAGTTGAAATAGTTTCCCGCTTCTGTGTTTGAGTGACGTGGTAAAATAGGCGTGTCTGTAAAGCAACGTCCTCTTCGTTCACGCGCGCGCACGCACACGCGCGCACGCACACGCACACACACACACACACACACACACACACTTTACTGCTGTGTTAGTGCTCTTCTAATGTAGCCTAGTCGAAAATATTACAAGTTCCGTGCTCATGAATGACAGACGAAGATATTCACGAATGCATGCGTCTACTTTGTCAAAGTAATGTCAATATGTCAAAAAAGTACAGTTGTAAGATAATACAGAGATCATACAGTTAGCTAACATATTAATTTAGGCAGAAACAATGAGCTCATTAACAATTTCCCCACCAGAGTCTTAAAAAAATACCAGCAACTGCCCACGTTTGTGATAATTTTCACAAAACTTTAATGCCCCCCAGAATATTGTATTGTGAATATCTGAACATATACAGTAGCCTATATCAAGATAAATAACAAAACCCTTTTTTTTTTAATGTGGGTAAGTTTCATAAAAAAACAACAACATTTGAAACACAGCTTTTTAATCTGAGAAATGTTGTACAATTGTTTCATTTTCTTCTTTGCAGAAACTGCATAATGGCGAAAACCCTTCTTTAAATTTACTAATAAAATCATTACAATGATAGTATCTGTTTATTATTTTAAAGTGAGTTTATCTGACTTTGTTAGGGATTACATATTTATTTATATCATACCACAAATTCTTAAAAAAAAGAAAGTGGTAATGCTGTTACCACTTCACCATTGCCATTGTTTTTATAAGATAAAGTAATTTCGGGGAGATACAAGGATTGAGTTTAAATTATTTTGATCTGGAGATTCTTTACTCTTTCAGAAGATGTGTGATAGCAGTGAACACACAATGCGGGGAAAGGGTTAAAGCAATTATTATTACTTTTGTGATCTATTACTAAAGTTGTGATCAAAATGATTAAAATACATAGAAAATTTGTCAGTTGTTTATGTTGATTCAGAGTTGGCATCATCCGATGTCCATTAAATGACATAATCTCCACTAAAGAGAAAAGCTGAACCTTGGGTAATTAGCACCACACTTGAACTTAGACGGGTTTGTCGTAGAGCAGAACGAAAATGCAAAAAAGACAAATTACAAGTGTCCTATGAAATATAACTCATATTACATACCAAAAGCTGCGAAATCTCAGTATTTTTCTAACATTAGGCCTACAGCAAAAAACTCCCACAAACCTAAAATACTTTTTTTGCTAATGTGGGATTACAAATTTTATTAACATGTTTCATAAAGGTTTAACAGTAATTTTAACCGAAAAATGTATAGTTTTTACCATTTTGAGGCCAAGAAGATTAAGCAAGCAGGTGTCACACATTAGCTTTTGTCTTTATGCACTTCCTGGCCATTAAGTTCAAGATACAGTTTTGCTTTTGTAATGGTAAAAGTGTGACCACTCTGGTCAGATTGATTAGATTAGCGTCTCTGGTAATCTGTTGAGTCATTTACATTTGCTTTGTTTCAAGAGTCTCCTCCTCAATGCAACACCTCCAGATTAGCATATCAAGGCACAGAAAACTGCTATGCTGATGAACTGAGGTGTCTGTTGAATCATTTCAACAGGTTAAGTATATGCATCTGACACAAAAAGAAAATGTTACTGTTGAAGTAATGTTTTATTTTTACTACAAATTTAGGAGGGAAAAATATGTTGTGTATTTACAAAATACAAATGAACCCTCCCAAATGAATACAGACAGGAGCCATCTTAGAAAATAGTCAGATTACTCAGCACGTCGTTCGTGGTTTGACTTGTCGAGTCTGTTTTCTAAAGATGGCGCTGCCTGTATACACGAAGTGAACTGTCTTTATAAAGTATCTTCTTATTAAACGGTCTGTACTCTTACAAAGTTATCAATGCTTCGTTTTGCATGTATGGAGCCTCATTATGTTACTGTGTTAGTGTGGGGCTATTTTGAGCCTCACAGCCTTTTGAGGTATTTTGATACCTCAAAAGTCTCCTGGTCTGTTGCGTGGAAGAAAAAACTTCACTACACTTAAATTAATGTGTGTATATAAATACACACACATGCATGTATATATTTAAGAAAATGTGTTATTCATATATAAAATATCTATATATAGAATATAGAATTTAAGCGCAAATAATTCTCAAATATATACATGCATGTGTGTGTATTTATATACACAAAATAATTATATACAGCACACACAAATATATTATGTAAACACAGACTTTTATTTTGGATGCGATTAATCGCAATTAATTTTTGCATATATATATATATATATATATATATATTTAGACCACTTAACTTAGTGATTTCTATCAGGAGTTTCAACCAGCAAAACAAAAACATTTTCTGGAACAAATCACTTTCCCTTCCTTTGATCTACATGAGCGCTTCATTCAAATCTATATGACGTGAAGAATATCGGGACTAACAATGTATACTATATTATAGTAGATGTAAGGATGAAAATATCAAGTTAAAAAATTATTTATTAAATTAATAAAAACTAAACAAATTAAGCTCAAGGTAGGCCTATTATTGAAATATATTTCTGGACTCCTGTCATAGCCACTTTTTAAACCGTTATTAATAGAGTTGGAAATGCTTGTATGGATGTTATGGAAGGTCAGCCAGAACACCCTAGCAACCATATACTGTAGCAACACCCTGGGAACTGCTTAACAAGAGCCTAGCAACCACCCAGCATATCCTAGCAACCATCTTGCAACACTTTAGCAAACACCCAGAAAATCTACTTATTCAGAACTTCAAACTATTTTACATTTTATTAATCAAAACCACACTATCCTCAATCTGTTCATTTTGTAACTGAAAGGTACTTTTGGTAGTAATAATAAAAATTATTTATGTATTTGTTTCACTACAATAAATAATAAAATAAATGTGATTTTCATTCAAACAAATAGAGCTTGAGAAAAGAACAGATACACATTGTTACTTTACACACACACACACAACATAAAACTCGTTCCACCATAAAACATCCATTTCAATCACAACAGACTGACCTAAAAAAATCACTAACAACAGGGAGCATTTCATAAATGTTTAACTTTTATTTTTAACGTTTGAATGTTTTCTTCCCCACATATAAATTCATTATATGATAAGAATGAGACCTTTTCATTTTGTTGACTGTATTACAACACAAAGAATGAATGAGAAATGCAGTAAGTAATTTTCCCCCCTATATCTTTACATATAGTCATTTACACGCACAACATTTTTGAAACAACAAAATCAATAAAGATAACAACAAAAACAACAAAAAAAGAAAATACACGTCTAGCATACTGTAATGACGTGCATTACTAGAGACACGTCTGTGTCCGGAGGAGTTTCCCAGGTGGAAGGTGATGCTGCCGCGACCATAAATAACCTTTCCTAAAAGTTCTCTAAAGGTGACGAACATTCCGAACCTTTACAGAACATTAGGGACGTTCCTGAAACGTCCTCTTTTAGTAATGAAAGTGCTGCAGTTCAACGTTCCTTAAATGACTTTAGGGGGACATTCCGTAAAGGTAATCTTATGGTCACATAACAACGTTTCAAAGAGGACATAATCAAAACGTTCTCATATGGGTCTAAGTTGGTCCTATTATAACGTTCCTTATGACTTTAGGGGGACGTTCCGTAATGTTAATCTTATGGTCACATAATGTTTTGATCCAACTGCAGAAGTAAATACATTTTTACACAAAATTGAATTAAAAAATGCAACAACAGCTTTTTGTTTCTGTGATGATTACGGAACGTAAATTGCTGAATTAAACATTCAAAGTTAATGGTTGTTCTGTTTGACCAACTATTTAACTATTTAAGCTAGAGACTGTGATTGCTACGGGAAAAGGGACCGCTATAGTGACCGAGATCACTGTGCTGCTTAACAAACTATTTGTGAACTTAACTATACTTACTTTAACATTCTCCAGCAAGTTTTAATGTGTGATTTGTCATGTTTCAAGCACCAACATTTTTTTAAGTTCTTAATGTCAAATGAGCTTAACTTTTGTATTTTAAATTAAATTGATTTAGTAGCCTGTTCAGATTATAGTCTTTTGGTGCTGACCAGCATATAGGCCTAGTTGAAGAAAGCATGAAGTCTACAATGAATCCACAAACACTCTGATCAACCTAAACTTTACAGTTGCAATGTGGTGAAAACAAATCAATGAATCTATAGTCAAATACTGTTATGATCCTGCATTCCTTTGGTTCTGAAGTAAATTTCTCCATTTCAGACCCTGTGAAGATTGCTGTTGATATGAGGGAAGAACCTTTGTTATAATCTGAAACATACTAAACTTTATTATTCTGGATCGTCTATAGCAATTATGTGGCCATGTGTCTGAATTAATAAAAAAAAAGGAAGAAACAAAAAGAGTTGAGGTTGTTTGTATTTCAGAGAATTAATCCTTTCATTTTGTTATTTAAAATAAGCAATCTTTTGGTTTAGCTACTAATAACATGACCTCATATGTTAATGTATTTTATTCTGCGTAGTAAAGAACAATGACTTTCACCTGTGACACATTGATTGAGCAAATTGCCAGGTGCAGGTGGAGCCATTCTGATTTACATCTGCATAAAATTGGATGGTAGCACCATAATGTGTTATTGAAACAAGCTTAGCAATAATGGGGTTTTGGCAGGTTGGATTTGGATTGGTGTTTATTCTTGCACTTGGATTTTCTGAAGCACAATGGAGAGCAAGAGCAGCGCACAATCAGAGTCCAAGTGAGTTTAGGCCTAGAACATTAGCTCAAGCTTCTCAACAGTCTGAATCCTGGATGTCTTTGGTTCCCAGCAACAATGCATTTGCACCACAGAGCTTTCCCGCTCAGGTTCCTGTCCAGACACCAGTCAGCACTGACTTAAGAAAGTCTTCTCAAGACCTTATGGGTGTTCAATTAAAAGAGCTGTTGCAGGGTCCAGTGGCAAAACTGACGTGGAGCTTTCCAAGTCTACCAGAAGAACCACAGCAGCCAGACGTTCCTTTTGAGTTGCCTTATCCTGTCCCTGCCAACAGTGTAGCTGCTCAGTGTGGAGAGAATTCAGTATATGTGGAAGTGATGAAGGACTTCTTTGGGACTGGGCACCCACTGTTGTCCTCTGGTTTTACACTGGGAGGCTGTACTGCAACTGGAGAGGATTCTTCTGCTCAAGTGCTGATCTTTGAGTCTGAACTGCATGGATGTAGCGGCACCTCAATGGTAAGGTTCTGTTGTGACCATAATCATACAGTAGGTATTCTGAACTGTCCATGCGACTGTTCTTCTTTTATTCTTTCTGTTTAGGTGACTGAGGATGAGCTTGTCTATAGGTTCAACATTATGTACACCCCACAAGAGGCTTCATATGGTGTTCCTATTGTCAGGAGCAGCGGTGCGGTGGTTGCCATCGAGTGTCATTATCCAAGGTGAGGATTCAATTAATTCAGGCTCAACGGATGTTCTAATCCTGCCATTTATGGGCAAGAGATGACCACTTGTTTAACTCCTACAGAACACATAATGTGAGCAGTGACGCCTTAATGCCCACTTGGATCCCATATGCCTCAACTGAGTTTGCAGAGGATGTGTTCGTCTTCTCCCTCAAGCTCATGACTGGTTGGTATAGCCCATACAGATTTGTAGAATGTTTGTTTGTGATTCATCTGTTAAGATTATTATATATATTTTTTCAGATGACTGGAGATTTGAGAGACCTTCTAACCAGTACTTCCTGGGTGACATAATAAATCTTGAAGCATCAGTGCGTTTGTACAGTCATGTTCCCATCCGTGTGTTTGTGGACAGCTGTGTGGCTACTGCAGTCCCTGATGTTGCTTCTGTCCCCAGATACTCCTTTATTGAGAATAATGGGTGAGAGGTGCTACCTCATGTATCCCAGCTTCCAGAAGGGTTGTGTGATTTCTAACTGGGTTCTGTTCACAGGTGCCTGGTTGATGCCAAGCTCACAGGCTCCACGTCTCACTTTATGCCCCGGACTCAAGGTGATAAGCTAAGGTTTCAGCTAGAGGCGTTCAGGTTCCAGCAAGCGGACAGTGGGCTGGTAAGCATGTCATGTAGTTGTGCAACTCTTTTTATGATATGCTGCCATGATGTACAAACCATTGTCTCTGCAGGTCTACATCACGTGCATTTTGAAGGTGGCTGCAGCAACATCTCCAAGTTCTGAACAGAAAGCTTGTTCATTCTCTGCTAATGGGTATGTCGCCTGCTAAATACGTGTACAGGTGAATTGGTTGTGTTCACTTATTTGAGGGTTTGTTTTGTCAGGTGGGTGTCTGCAGATGATTCTGACCAGGTTTGTGGCTGCTGTGACACAACGTGTAGCATTAGAAGTGGAAGTGATCAACTGCTTGCAGGTTTGGATTAACTCTGAGAAGTTGTTATTGGCATACATGACTTTAGTTCTCACTAATCATTTGTTCCTCAGATCTACGCTGGGAGAAGGCATCTGTCGGCCCCATCAATGTTAAAGAATATGGCTATGGCCAAAAATAACTGGAAATGTCAAATGTCATGGTGATTTTTAATAAATGTTGCTAATATATTTGGGTTTTTTGGTGTTTTTACTTGCACAGATACTACACTTTTGACCTTTTCAACATGGTTTCTGGTCAGTCATGTACCACAAAAATCCTAATTCTACTGGCCTTTATGGGAGGTACCTTTTGCTCAAGCCATTTGTGGGGCTAGGCTTCTTACAACACAAAATTGAGGTTTTTGTACCAGAGGAACCTTTTCCTAGAACTATTGGCGGAAGTACCTGGATTTTTGTTGTGTTTACACCACAGGAACAAGGAACGATTTTAGTTCTAGGAGCTAATTTAGCTCCTATTTTAGAATAGGGTCTCAACCAGCACGAACCATCTGTGATGCAAGTGTATGCTGTTTGGCTGAATGCATGTGAACCACCAGCACTTGCCATTTATTACATGTAATGAGTGTGTAAACACTGATTCTACAAATAAATTCTACAAATTTTGTATGCATACTATATTACCCCAGTGAAGCTTAAGACATTTATTGATACACACACAAAGTCCTATGTATAGAAAATGCGGAATTAATTAGGAACATTGATGAATTTATCTTGGTATTGTTAATCTTTTTTTTTTTTTTTGGGAGAAGATTCATAAATTAATCCAAGAAACTACTTTCTGAGCTCTGCTTTGTTACATTTATTTAATTATATTGAGGATTCTCTTTACAAAAAAAGTGTTTACAGTGTTTTATTTTGAAAAAAAAAAAAAAAATGCATACTTGCAGCATGGATTTCCCAGTCAGGACCCACACTGGGTCAATGCCTGGATCAGATAATAGATTTGTTTTCCATTGAAGAAATTACAAGTCAACATTCAAGACTGCAAGAGTTCCAAATCACACGGGCCTTAGTATTAAATTAGGCCCTGTTTACACGAGAACGCTCGCTGGTGAAAACGTAAAAATATTTTATCGAATGTGCCTTTCGTTTACACGGTGACAGCGTTTTTGGGGCTTAAAAACGCGAAAAAGTGAAACCACTCTCCAGAGTGGAAATCTTTAAAAATGCTCCCCTGCAGCGTTCCCGTGTAAAGGGTAAAAACGCAAAAGGGCAAGAGATGAAGGTCTATAAAATACACTTATCTCCATTTGCATATGTTTGCAATTGTAGTGTCTGTGTGGTGGATTGAGAAAGTGAATGTTGGGGCTTTGGAGTACTCTAGGTTTTTGTTTGCCATGGACAAAGGGTGGACACAGTGAGTTTATTCAATCAACCTCAGTTTGTGAATGATTTGGCAAATTTATTTACCTAATGTATTTACTTTTAGGTTACACTTGTTTGTAATCTTCCTGCTCTTTTTGAGTAATGCTCATGGATTTAAAGGTAATGTGTTTTTTTTTTCTTGCAAAGGATTTTAAATTGTGAGAATTGTTTTTCTACAAATTTTCTGTTTTGTCTAATTCACAGCTGGAGCTCATTCAGATGCCAACCACTGGTGGGGCCAACCTTCAGATAAATCTTTCTCACCTCGTGCAGTCCAGTCTTCTGTGTCAGAGGTCCCTGTGACTGGGATTTTGCCTGAAGAAGTGGGCTCTAGTTTATTCACTAACAGACTTACTCCAATTTGTTAAAGGTGGTGTTTCCAGCAGGCATGAATCAATGTCCCATGCCCAGACCACTCCAAGCAGCTCTGTTTTAGCTTCCTTGCCTGTACCCTTAAATGAACTGCATGCAGGCCATTTGACATCACTCCAGGGTTCCTCTGGTTCAGCCGCTAAAGATACTACTAGTGTGTCTACGCAAGGAGAAAGTAGCTTCCCTGCCACACTTGGCAATTCTGGCCTGTCCACCAGTGATCAAAGTTCCCCTAGTTTGTACGTGACCAGTTCCCTGGAAACCTCTGGTGCCTTGGGTCAATATAACCCGGGCTCCTATAACGTGCTCAGTTCTTCATCTGTTTCTAGTCAGTCTACCAGTGACCAGAGTACCCCCAGTTTGTATAGTTCTAGCTTTCAGGGAAATTCGGACAGTTTTTTGGAAGCTTCTGGCTCTTTTCAAGGGGAAGTGGCAGGGCTTGGCTCTCATGTTGACTTGTTTCCCCAATCACAGGACCGCTCCAGTCAGCTTCTACCCTCACCCTTGGAGGTCTCTAGCCAGTCTACTAATGGTCAAAGCACTCCCAGCCTGTTTATTCTTGGCTCTGACAGCAGTTCAGGATCACAGTCAGCAGGTCCTGCTTCACCTCTAGACACTCAGGGTAGTCTCTCTCAAAGCCTCAGGGCACTCTTGGTCTGTATGCCCCTGCGTCCCATACCAAATATGCGAGTATACCCATGTCGTCACACCTAGCTATTTATAGCCAGTCAAAAAGTACCTCTGGTCCTTGGTTTGAGGGCTCTACTGGCTTTGCCTCCCAGGGAATGAGTAGTACTTACAGTGGTTCTGTCCAGTCTCAAGGTACCACAAGTCAGTTTGCCTCTGGGTCTCCATCCTCTTATCCAATTGTAACACTATTCTCACCCCAAGGATCCGCCAGTCAGTCCGCTACAGCCCAGAGTTCATGGAAGCAGTTTGCCTCTAGATATGGCACCCAGTCAGGGTCCTCTAAGCCAATCACCCTGCAGGGAAGCACTTACGGTGGATCACTCCAGCCTCAAGGTACCACAAGTCAGTTTGCATCTGGGTCTCAATCCTATCCAAGTGTATCACTATCCTCGCCCCAAGGGTCCTCCAGTCAGTCTGCTGCAGTCCAGAGTTCACAGAAGCAGTTTGCCTCTAGATATGGCACCCAGTTAGTGTCCTCTACGCCAATCACCCTGCAGGGAAGCAAGTATGGTGGATCACTCCAGCCTCAAGGTACCACAAGTCAGTTTGCATCTGGGTCTCCATCCTATCCAAGTGAATCATAATTCTTGCCCCAAGGTTCCTCCAGTCAGTCTGCTGCAGTCCAGAGTTCACAGAAGCAGTTTACCTCTAGATATGGCACCCAGTCAGGGTCCTCTAAGCCATTCACCCTGCAGGGAAGCACCACCGATGGTGGGTCACTCCAGCCTCAAGGTACCACAAGTCAGTTTGCCTCTGGGTCTTCAACCTCCTATCCAATTGTAACACTATCGTTGTCCTCGTCCCAAGGTGTTGCTGACCAGTCCGGCCAAGCAGTTCAAAGCTATTCTGGGTACCAAAGCCAAAAGTCTCAAAGATGGCAGCCTTCACGAGGTATTCATGCCTCGGGTGGAGCTGCATCATGGGGTAGCTCTCTGTCTCAAAGCTCTCCAATGCAGAGTTTCTTTTCTTCCCTGTCGTCAGCAGGAGGCTCATCTTCAGCATATCCTGGACCATTTGTTTCTGCACAGGGTGGTAGCAGCAGACATGGTGGCATTTCTCTTCATTCTCAAAGCCCCTCTAGGAAGTACACTCCTGGGTCTCATGCATATGCCATGCTTGGTTCCTCTCCCCTAGCTGTTTCTAGCCAGTCTACCAGTGATAAGTGGTCAAATGGCCTGTATAGGTCAGAGTCTCTGGGAACCCAGGGTCTCATTGGTGTAATTGAAAGACCCTCTAGGCTCTCGTCTCAAGCTCCTGACTCTACAAGAAGTAACCAAATATCTGAGCATTTTGGGACCATGAAACGCCCCACAGGTTCAAACCTAACTCCATCTCTAGGCTTGAGTGCCCTAGAATCATCTGTTGGCATGTTCTACAGTATCCCACAGACTGCACATGCACTACGTAACTCTGGGTCAGATGTCCAGCTAAACAATAAACCATTCCTCAATCAGCGATACTCTGTAAAGGGCTAAGGAACTCTATAAAACAGCTATGTTATGCAAAGTGTCTTCCAGAATAAAAAAAATCAAATGTTTAACAGTTTTTTTTTCTTGTGCTTTTGTTTATCATACATTCAAAGGATAGAAATCCATGTTAGTTTAGTTTAACTAGGAAAAAGGGGTGCCATATAGGGTTTTGAGCACCAAATTGGTCAGTTTTTAGTCGGTTGCTGTTTAAATCGTGTTTTGTTGGCATTGACTGAAAAAATATTGGTCACTGGTACCTGCCTCAAAATCCTGATGTGTGCAATACTATTTTCTAGTCAAAGCTTTAATTTTCTCTTTTTTTTTTTTTTTTTTTTTTTTTTTGAATGTGTACCTTAAATATTTTGCACTGGTGCCGGATCTATTCGTGTTTCATTGGTTTGTCCATTGATTCAAATAGAGAAATTAATACATGGTTGATCAAATTTAAAGATTATTGGGCAAGTGAAAAACCATTGCAAAAATGAGCTACTGGCCAGAGATTCAAATTAACTTTACTGAACTTAACCTGAGGTTAAAAAATTAAGCTAAAAATGGCTTTTAAACTAAAAGATTTGTTATAAACTGAAGACTTTGTAGTAGTTGATGGGGCTACAGGGTTTAAGTGGGAGAACATAAAAAAAATTGGGCTTATTTCAGGTTAATTTTCTCATTCCTCTGTTGTATTTCATTTGTCCACTGATTTAGACTGTTATGAATAGCTTGTAAATGACGTTCCACATGCTACTAAAGAGTGGTGCAGTGATCATTAAAACCAAGAACCACATAAAAAAGAACCCATTTCTCATTTGGCTGTCTTCCCCTTTTGAGACCATTTCTGAGACATTTTAGTGGGCAAAAGTGTGGATAAAAAAAAAAAACATGGCATTGTACTTAATAAGTTCAGTGTTTGAGATACTTTGCTGATAGAAACGGACAACATGTTCTCATGAGTATTCGTATGTATTTTACCTCACGTCCATTAACTTATTTCCATAGACAATGAAACCTACAATATTGTATTTCAGAGAATTGATCCTTTCATTTTGTTATTTAAAATAAGCAATCATTTGGTTTAGCCACTAATAACATGACCTCATATGTTAATGTATTTTATTCTGCGTAGTAAAGAACAATGACTTTCACCTGTGACACATTGATTGAGCAAATTGCCAGGTGCAGGTGGAGCCATTCTGATTTACATCTGCATAAAATTGGATGGTAGCACCATAATGTGTTATTGAAACAAGCTTAGCAATAATGGGGTTTTGGCAGGTTGGATTTGGATTGGTGTTTATTCTTGCACTTGGATTTTCTGAAGCACAATGGAGAGCAAGAGCAGCGCACAATCAGAGTCCAAGTGAGTTTAGGCCTAGAACATTAGCTCAAGCTTCTCAACAGTCTGAATCCTGGATGTCTTTGGTTCCCAGCAACAATGCATTTGCACCACAGAGCTTTCCCGCTCAGGTTCCTGTCCAGACACCAGTCAGCACTGACTTAAGAAAGTCTTCTCAAGACCTTATGGGTGTTCAATTAAAAGAGCTGTTGCAGGGTCCAGTGGCAAAACTGACGTGGAGCTTTCCAAGTCTACCAGAAGAACCACAGCAGCCAGACGTTCCTTTTGAGTTGCCTTATCCTGTCCCTGCCAACAGTGTAGCTGCTCAGTGTGGAGAGAATTCAGTATATGTGGAAGTGATGAAGGACTTCTTTGGGACTGGGCACCCACTGTTGTCCTCTGGTTTTACACTGGGAGGCTGTACTGCAACTGGAGAGGATTCTTCTGCTCAAGTGCTGATCTTTGAGTCTGAACTGCATGGATGTAGCGGCACCTCAATGGTAAGGTTCTGTTGTGACCATAATCATACAGTAGGTATTCTGAACTGTCCATGTGACTGTTCTTCTTTTATTCTTTCTGTTTAGGTGACTGAGGATGAGCTTGTCTATAGGTTCAACATTATGTACACCCCACAAGAGGCTTCATATGGTGTTCCTATTGTCAGGAGCAGCGGTGCGGTGGTTGCCATCGAGTGTCATTATCCAAGGTGAGGATTCAATTAATTCAGGCTCAACGGATGTTCTAATCCTGCCATTTATGGGCAAGAGATGACCACTTGTTTAACTCCTACAGAACACATAATGTGAGCAGTGACGCCTTAATGCCCACTTGGATCCCATATGCCTCAACTGAGTTTGCAGAGGATGTGTTCGTCTTCTCCCTCAAGCTCATGACTGGTTGGTATAGCCCATACAGATTTGTAGAATGTTTGTTTGTGATTCATCTGTTAAGATTATTATATATATTTTTTCAGATGACTGGAGATTTGAGAGACCTTCTAACCAGTACTTCCTGGGTGACATAATAAATCTTGAAGCATCAGTGCGTTTGTACAGCCATGTTCCCATCCGTGTGTTTGTGGACAGCTGTGTGGCTACTGCAGTCCCTGATGTTGCTTCTGTCCCCAGATACTCCTTTATTGAGAATAATGGGTGAGAGGTGCTACCTCATGTATCCCAGCTTCCAGAAGGGTTGTGTGATTTCTAACTGGGTTCTGTTCACAGGTGCCTGGTTGATGCCAAGCTCACAGGCTCCACGTCTCACTTTATGCCCCGGACTCAAGGTGATAAGCTAAGGTTTCAGCTAGAGGCGTTCAGGTTCCAGCAAGCGGACAGTGGGCTGGTAAGCATGTCATGTAGTTGTGCAACTCTTTTTATGATATGCTGCCATGGTGTACAAACAATTGTCTCTGCAGGTCTACATCACGTGCATTTTGAAGGTGGCTGCAGCAACATCTCCAAGTTCTGAACAGAAAGCTTGCTCATTCTCTGCTAATGGGTATGTCGCCTGCTAAATACGTGTACAGGTGAATTGGTTGTGTTAACTTATTTGAGGGTTTGTTTTGTCAGGTGGGTGTCTGCAGATGATTCTGACCAGGTTTGTGGCTGCTGTGACACAACGTGTAGCATTAGAAGTGGAAGTGATCAACTGCTTGCAGGTTTGGATTAACTCTGAGAAGTTGTTATTGGCATACATGACTTTAGTTCTCACTAATCATTTGTTCCTCAGATCTACGCTGGGAGAAGGCATCTGTCGGCCCCATCAATGTTAAAGAATATGGCTATGGCCAAAAATAACTGGAAATGTCATGGTGATTTTTAATAAATGTTGCTAATATATTTGGGTTTTTTGGTGTTTTTACTTGCACAGATACTACACTTTTGAACTTGTCAACATGGTTTCTGGTCAGTCATGTACCACAAAAATCCTAATTCTACTGGCCTTTATGGGAGGTACCTTTTGCTCAAGCCATTTGTGGGGCTAGGCCTATTACAACTCAAAATTGAGGTTTTTGTACCAGAGGAACCTTTTCCTAGAACTATTGGCGGAAGTACCTGGATTTTTGTTGTGTTTACACCGCAGGAACAAGGAATGATTTTAGTTCTAGGAGCTAATTTGGCTCCTGTTTTAGAATAGGGTCTCAACCAGCACGAACCGTCTGTGATGCAAGTGTATGCTGATTGGCCGAACGCATGTGAACCACCAGCACTTGCCATTTATTACATGTAATGAGTGTGTAAACACTGATATGTTATAGCTATTTACTTAAACTCTACAAATTTTGTATGCATACTATATTACCCCAGTGACGCTTAAGACATTTATTGATACACACACAAAGTCCTATGTGTAGAAAATGTGGAATTAATTAGGAACATTGATGAATTTATTTTGGTGTTGTAAACCTTTTTTTTTTTTTTTCTTTTTGGGAGAAGATTCATAATGTAATCAAATAAATGTGTAACTCCTTTCTGAGCTCTGCTCTGTTATTTTTATTGAATTATATTGAGGATTCCCTTTACAAAAAAAAATGGTTTACAATGTTTTAATTTGAAAAAAAAAAAAAAAAAAAAACCCTGCATACTTACAGCATGGATTTCCCAGTCAGGACCCACACTGGGTCAGATAATAGTTTTGTTTTCCATTGAAGAAATTACAAGTCAACATTCAAGACTGCAAGAGTTCCAAATCACACGGGCCTTAGTATTAAATTAGGCCCTGTTTACACGAGAACGCTCGCTGGTGAAAACGTAAAAATATTTTATCGAATGTGCCTTTGCGTTTTTACTTTTGGGTAAAAACGCAAAAGTCTGCTTGACAGTGAAGGTTGTACGCAGGCGCGCGTGCTTTGTGTTTCAAACTGCTTTGAAATCACCTTCTTACTTGTACCCGATTTGCTTCAAACTTCATCAGAATAATGCCAAGACACGACAGAAGTAAACGTGTGAATGGGATTCTTGATACCTTGAATACTGTTGTTATGGCAATGCATAAAACTTTTATATTTTGTTTGGGTATTTCTGAGACTCTTAGCATGCTTCAAAATGCATGAAACTCGACACACACACACACACACACACATACACATCAGAATTGTCAGCCAGTAGACATGGGCAAAGCCTTAAAAATAGCGTGTAGGAGCGGCTAAGTAGTATCATATTTAAACATAGGCCTAGATTTAAACAGGGTTGAAAAAAGCCTTGTTGCTGAGAATTTTTCAGACTTAATTATCAAAAATGTTGAATTTTTGGCTCAACTAACTGGTAAACAGTCTCAGAGTCCTCAGAGCATTTTGGCTGAGTTTTATCCCAGAGACTCCAAAAATTTGTCTTACTTCCTTCCTAAAATAAACCTTTATAAAGGTCAACCTGATGTGATCAGACACATTTTGTTTAAAGTGAATGACTATCCTATGCATACAATACACAGTTACACACTTTAAAATGTTTAAACACATTCATAAATCTATCACCAATTATCTTTTAACAGCCAGTTAGTTTCCCAGGTGAACAATGTTTCATGTAATTAGTTATTTGCCATAATTGGACTGATGAATGTCTATAAAATACACTTATCTCCATTTGCATATGTTTGCAATTGTAGTGTCTGTGTGGTGGATTGAGAAAGTGAATGTTGGGGCTTTGGAGTACTCTAGGTTTTTGTTTGCCATGGACAAAGGGTGGACACAGTGAGTTTATTCAATCAACCTCAGTTTGTGAATGATTTGGCAAATTTATTTACCTAATGTATTTACTTTTAGGTTACACTTGTTTGTAATCTTCCTGCTCTTTTTGAGTAATGCTCATGGATTTAAAGGTAATGTGTTTTTTTTCTTGCAAAAGATTTTAAATTGTGAGAATTGTTTTTCTACAAATTTTCTATTTTGTCTAATTCACAGCTGGAGCTCATTCAGATGCCAACCACTGGTGGGGCCAACCTTCAGATAAATCTTTCTCACCTCGTGCAGTCCAGTCTTCTGTGTCAGAGGTCCCTGTGACTGGGATTTTGCCTGAAGAAGTGGGCTCTAGTTTATTCACTAACAGACCCCTGAAAAGGTTGAACTTGCTCCAATTTGTTAAAGGTGGTGTTTCCAGCAGGCATGAATCAATGTCCCATGCCCAGACCACTCCAAGCAGCTCTGTTTTAGCTTCCTTGCCTGTACCCTTAAATGAACTGCATGCAGGCCATTTGACATCACTCCAGGGTTCCTCTGGTTCAGCCGCTACAGATACTACTAGTGTGTCTACGCAAGGAGAAAGTAGCTTCCCTGCCACACTTGGCAATTCTGGCCTGTCCACCAGTGATCAAAGTTCCCCTAGTTTGTACGTGACCAGTTCCCTGGAAACCTCTGGTGCCTTGGGTCAATATAACCCGGGCTCCTATAACGAGCTCAGTTCTTCATCTGTTTCTAGTCCGTCTACCAGTGACCAGAGTACCCCCAGTTTGTATAGTTCTAGCTTTCAGGGAAATTCGGGCAGTTTTTTGGAAGCTTCTGGCTCTTTTCAAGGGGAAGTGGCAGGGCTTGGCTCTCATGTTGACTTGTTTCCCCAATCACAGGACCGCTCCAGTCAGCTTCTACCCTCACCCTTGGAGGTCTCTAGCCAGTCTACTAATGGTCAAAGCACTCCCAGCCTGTTTATGCTTGGCTCTGACAGCAGTTCAGGATCACAGTCAGCAGGTCCTGCTTCACCTCTAGACACTCAGGGTAGTCTCTCTCAAAGCATTTCTAGCCAGTCCACAAGTGTTCAGAGTTCACCTAGTGTGTCTACAAGCACCCAGAGCAGGTCTGCCACTCCATTAACTTCCAGTAACTTATTCCCTGTGCAGGGAGGTAGTAGTTCTACTTCTAGCTTATATCTGAAGCCTCAGGGCACTCTTGGTCGGTATGCCCCTGCGTCCCATACCAAATATGCGAGTATACCCATGTCGTCACACCTAGCTATTTATAGCCAGTCAAAAAGTACCTCTGGTCCTTGGTTTGAGGGCTCTACTGGCTTTGCCTCCCAGGGAATGAGTAGCACTTACAGTGGTTCTGTCCAGTCTCAAGGTACCACAAGTCAGTTTGCCTCTGGGTCTCCATCCTCCTATCCAATTGTAACACTATCCTCACCCCAAGGTTCCGCCAGTCAGTCCGCTACAGCCCAGAGTTCATGGAAGCAGTTTGCCTCTAGATATGGCACCCAGTCAGGGTCCTCTAAGCCAATCACCCTGCAGGGAAGCACTTACGGTGGATCACTCGAGCCTCAAGGTACCACAAGTCAGTTTGCATCTGGGTCTCAATCCTATCCAAGTGTATCACTATCCTCGCCCCAAGGGTCCTTCAGTCAGTCTGCTGCAGTCCAGGGTTCACGGAAGCAGTTTGCCTTTAGATATGGCACCCAGTTAGTGTCCTCTAAGCCAATCACCCTGCAGGGAAGCAAGTATGGTGGCTCACTCCAGCCTCAAGGTACCACAAGTCAGTTTGCATCTGGATCTCCATCCTATCCAAGTGAATCGCACTCCTCGCCCCAAGGTTCCTCCAGTCAGTCTGCTGCAATCCAGAGTTCACGGAAGCAGTTTGCCTCTAGATATGGCACCCAGTCAGGGTCCTCTAAGCCATTCACCCTGCAGGGAAGCACCACTGATGGTGGGTCACTCCAGCCTCAAGGTACCACAAGTCAGTTTGCCTCTGGGTCTCTATCCTATCCAAGTGCATCACTATCCTCGCCCCAAGGTTCCTCCAGTCAGTCTGCTGCAGTCCATAGTTCACAGAAGCAGTTTTCCTCTAGCTATGGCACCCAGTCAGGGTCCTCTAAGCCATTCACCCTGCAGGGAAGCACTTATGGTGGATCACTCCAGCCTCAAGGTACCACAAGTCCGTTTGCATCTGGGTCTCAATCCTATCCAAGTGCATCACTATCCTTGCCCCAAGGGTCCTCCAGTCAGTCTGCTGCAGTCCAGAGTTCACGGAAGCAGTTTGCCTCTAGCTATGGCACCCAGTTAGTGTCCTCCAAGCCAATCACCCTGCAGGGAAGCAAGTATGGTGGATCACTCCAGCCTCAAGGTACCACAAGTCAGTTTGCATCTGGATCTCCATCCTATCCAAGTCAATCACACTTCTCGCCCCAAGGTTCCTCCAGTCAGTCTGCTGCAATCCAGAGTTCACAGAAGCAGTTTGCCTCTAGATATGGCACCCAGTTAGTGTCCTCCAAGCCAATCACCCTGCAGGGAAGCACTTACGGTGGATCACTCCAGCCTCAAGGTACCACAAGTCAGTTTGCATCTGGGTCTCAATCCTATCCAAGTGTATCACTATCCTCGCCCCAGGGTTCCTCCAGCCAGTCTGCTGCAGTCCAGAGTTCACAGAAGCAGTTTGCCTCTAGATATGGCACCCAGTTAGTGTCCTCTAAGCCAATCACCCTGCAGGGAAGCACTTCTGGTGGATCATTCCAGCCTCAAGGTACCACAAGTCAGTTTGCATCTGGGTCTCAATCCTATCCAAGTGAATCACTATCCTCGCCCCAAGGTTCCGCCAGTCAGTCTGCTGCAGTCCAGAGTTCACAGAAGCAGTTTGCCTCTAGATATGGCACCCAATTAGTGTCCTCCAAGCCAATCACCCTGCAGGGAAGCAAGTATGGTGGATCACTCCAGCCTCAAGGTACCACAAGTCAGTTTGCATCTGGATCTCCATCCTATCCAAGTGAATCACACTCCTTGCCCCAAGGTTCCTCCAGTCAGTCTGCTGCAATCCAGAGTTCACAGAAGCAGTTTACCTCTAGATATGGCACCCAGTCAGGGTCCTCTAAGCCATTCACCCTGCAGGGAAGCACCACCGATGGTGGGTCACTCCAGCCTCAAGGTACCACAAGTCAGTTTGCCTCTGGGTCTTCAACCTCCTATCCAATTGTAACACTATCGTTGTCCTCGTCCCAAGGTGTTGCTGACCAGTCCGGCCAAGCAGTTCAAAGCTATTCTGGGTACCAAAGCCAAAAGTCTCAAAGATGGCAGCCTTCACGAGGTATTCATGCCTCGGGTGGAGCTGCATCATGGGGTAGCTCTCTGTCTCAAAGCTCTCCAATGCAGAGTTTCTTTTCTTCCCTGTCGTCAGCAGGAGGCTCATCTTCAGCATATCCTGGACCATTTGTTTCTGCACAGGGTGGTAGCAGCAGACATGGTGGCATTTCTCTTCATTCTCAAAGCCCCTCTAGGAAGTACACTCCTGGGTCTCATGCATATGCCATGCTTGGTTCCTCTCCCCTAGCTGTTTCTAGCCAGTCTACCAGTGATAAGTGGTCAAATGGCCTGTATAGGTCAGAGTCTCTGGGAACCCAGGGTCTCATTGGTGTAATTGAAAGACCCTCTAGGCTCTCGTCTCAAGCTCCTGACTCTACAAGCAGTAACCAAATATCTGAGCATTTTGGGACCATGAAACGCCCCACAGGTTCAAACCTAACTCCATCTCTAGGCTTGAGTGCCCTAGAATCATCTGTTGGCATGTTCTACAGTATCCCACAGACTGCACATGCACTACGTAACTCTGGGTCAGATGTCCAGCTAAACAATAAACCATTCCTCAATCAGCGATACTCTGTAAAGGGCTAAGGAACTCTATAAAACAGCTATGTTATGCAAAGTGTCTTCCAGAATAAAAAAAATCAAATGTGTAACAGTTTTTTTTTCTTGTGCTTTTGTTTATCCTACATTCAAAGGATAGAAATCCATGTTAGTTTAGTTTAACTAGGAAAAAGGGGTGCCATATAGGGTTTTGAGCACCAAATTGGTCAGTTTTTAGTCGGTTGCTGTTTAAATCGTGTTTTGTTGGCATTGACTGAAAAAAATATTGGTCACTGGTACCTGCCTCAAAATCCTGATGTGTGCAATACTATTTTCTAGTCAAAGCTTTAATTTTCTTTTTTTTTTTTTTTTTTTTTTGAATGTGTACCTTAAATATTTTGCACTGGTGCCGGATCTATTCGTGTTTCATTGGTTTGTCCATTGATTCAAATAGAGAAATTAATACATGGTTGATCAAATTTAAAGATTATTGGGCAAGTGAAAAACCATTGCAAAAATGAACTACTGGCCAGAGATTCAAATTAACTTTACTGAACTTAACCTGAGGTTAAAAAATTAAGCTAAAAATGGCTTTTAAACTAAAAGATTTGTTATAAACTGAAGACTTTGTAGTAGTTGATGGGGCTACAGGGTTTAAGTGGGAGAACATAAAAAAAAATTGGGCTTATTTTAGGTTAATTTTCTCATTCCTCTGTTGTATTTCATTTGTCCACTGATTTAGACTGTTATGAATAGCTTGTAAATGACGTTCCACATGCTACTAAAGAGTGGTGCAGTGATCATTAAAACCAAGAACCACATAAAAAAGAACCCATTTCTCATTTGGCTGTCTTCCCCTTTTGAGACCATTTCTGAGACATTTTAGTGGGCAAAAGTGTGGATAAAAAAAAAAAAACATGGCATTGTACTTAATAAGTTCAGTGTTTGAGATACTTTGCTGATAGAAACGGACAACATGTTCTCATGAGTATTCGTATGTATTTTACCTCACGTCCATTAACTTATTTCCATAGACAATGAAACCTACAATATTGTATTTCAGAGAATTGATCCTTTCATTTTGTTATTTAAAATAAGCAATCATTTGGTTTAGCCACTAATAACATGACCTCATATGTTAATGTATTTTATTCTGCGTAGTAAAGAACAATGACTTTCACCTGTGACACATTGATTGAGCAAATTGCCAGGTGCAGGTAGAGCCATTCTGATTTACATCTGCATAAAATTGGATGGTAGCACCATAATGTGTTATTGAAACAAGCTTAGCAATAATGGGGTTTTGGCAGGTTGGATTTGGATTGGTGTTTATTCTTGCACTTGGATTTTCTGAAGCACAATGGAGAGCAAGAGCAGCGCACAATCAGAGTCCAAGTGAGTTTAGGCCTAGAACATTAGCTCAAGCTTCTCAACAGTCTGAATCCTGGATGTCTTTGGTTCCCAGCAACAATGCATTTGCACCACAGAGCTTTCCCGCTCAGGTTCCTGTCCAGACACCAGTCAGCACTGACTTAAGAAAGTCTTCTCAAGACCTTATGGGTGTTCAATTAAAAGAGCTGTTGCAGGGTCCAGTGGCAAAACTGACGTGGAGCTTTCCAAGTCTACCAGAAGAACCACAGCAGCCAGACGTTCCTTTTGAGTTGCCTTATCCTGTCCCTGCCAACAGTGTAGCTGCTCAGTGTGGAGAGAATTCAGTATATGTGGAAGTGATGAAGGACTTCTTTGGGACTGGGCACCCACTGTTGTCCTCTGGTTTTACACTGGGAGGCTGTACTGCAACTGGAGAGGATTCTTCTGCTCAAGTGCTGATCTTTGAGTCTGAACTGCATGGATGTAGCGGCACCTCAATGGTAAGGTTCTGTTGTGACCATAATCATACAGTAGGTATTCTGAACTGTCCATGTGACTGTTCTTCTTTTATTCTTTCTGTTTAGGTGACTGAGGATGAGCTTGTCTATAGGTTCAACATTATGTACACCCCACAAGAGGCTTCATATGGTGTTCCTATTGTCAGGAGCAGCGGTGCGGTGGTTGCCATCGAGTGTCATTATCCAAGGTGAGGATTCAATTAATTCAGGCTCAACGGATGTTCTAATCCTGCCATTTATGGGCAAGAGATGACCACTTGTTTAACTCCTACAGAACACATAATGTGAGCAGTGACGCCTTAATGCCCACTTGGATCCCATATGCCTCAACTGAGTTTGCAGAGGATGTGTTCGTCTTCTCCCTCAAGCTCATGACTGGTTGGTATAGCCCATACAGATTTGTAGAATGTTTGTTTGTGATTCATCTGTTAAGATTATTATATATATTTTTTCAGATGACTGGAGATTTGAGAGACCTTCTAACCAGTACTTCCTGGGTGACATAATAAATCTTGAAGCATCAGTGCGTTTGTACAGCCATGTTCCCATCCGTGTGTTTGTGGACAGCTGTGTGGCTACTGCAGTCCCTGATGTTGCTTCTGTCCCCAGATACTCCTTTATTGAGAATAATGGGTGAGAGGTGCTACCTCATGTATCCCAGCTTCCAGAAGGGTTGTGTGATTTCTAACTGGGTTCTGTTCACAGGTGCCTGGTTGATGCCAAGCTCACAGGCTCCACGTCTCACTTTATGCCCCGGACTCAAGGTGATAAGCTAAGGTTTCAGCTAGAGGCGTTCAGGTTCCAGCAAGCGGACAGTGGGCTGGTAAGCATGTCATGTAGTTGTGCAACTCTTTTTATGATATGCTGCCATGGTGTACAAACAATTGTCTCTGCAGGTCTACATCACGTGCATTTTGAAGGTGGCTGCAGCAACATCTCCAAGTTCTGAACAGAAAGCTTGCTCATTCTCTGCTAATGGGTATGTCGCCTGCTAAATACGTGTACAGGTGAATTGGTTGTGTTAACTTATTTGAGGGTTTGTTTTGTCAGGTGGGTGTCTGCAGATGATTCTGACCAGGTTTGTGGCTGCTGTGACACAACGTGTAGCATTAGAAGTGGAAGTGATCAACTGCTTGCAGGTTTGGATTAACTCTGAGAAGTTGTTATTGGCATACATGACTTTAGTTCTCACTAATCATTTGTTCCTCAGATCTACGCTGGGAGAAGGCATCTGTCGGCCCCATCAATGTTAAAGAATATGGCTATGGCCAAAAATAACTGGAAATGTCATGGTGATTTTTAATAAATGTTGCTAATATATTTGGGTTTTTTGGTGTTTTTACTTGCACAGATACTACACTTTTGAACTTGTCAACATGGTTTCTGGTCAGTCATGTACCACAAAAATCCTAATTCTACTGGCCTTTATGGGAGGTACCTTTTGCTCAAGCCATTTGTGGGGCTAGGCCTATTACAACTCAAAATTGAGGTTTTTGTACCAGAGGAACCTTTTCCTAGAACTATTGGCGGAAGTACCTGGATTTTTGTTGTGTTTACACCGCAGGAACAAGGAATGATTTTAGTTCTAGGAGCTAATTTGGCTCCTGTTTTAGAATAGGGTCTCAACCAGCACGAACCGTCTGTGATGCAAGTGTATGCTGATTGGCCGAACGCATGTGAACCACCAGCACTTGCCATTTATTACATGTAATGAGTGTGTAAACACTGATATGTTATAGCTATTTACTTAAACTCTACAAATTTTGTATGCATACTATATTACCCCAGTGACGCTTAAGACATTTATTGATACACACACAAAGTCCTATGTGTAGAAAATGTGGAATTAATTAGGAACATTGATGAATTTATTTTGGTGTTGTAAACCTTTTTTTTTTTTTTTTTCTTTTTGGGAGAAGATTCATAATGTAATCAAATAAATGTGTAACTCCTTTCTGAGCTCTGCTCTGTTATTTTTATTGAATTATATTGAGGATTCCCTTTACAAAAAAAAAATGGTTTACAATGTTTTAATTTGAAAAAAAAAAAAAAAAAAAAACCCTGCATACTTACAGCATGGATTTCCCAGTCAGGACCCACACTGGGTCAGATAATAGTTTTGTTTTCCATTGAAGAAATTACAAGTCAACATTCAAGACTGCAAGAGTTCCAAATCACACGGGCCTTAGTATTAAATTAGGCCCTGTTTACACGAGAACGCTCGCTGGTGAAAACGTAAAAATATTTTATCGAATGTGCCTTTGCGTTTTTACTTTTGGGTAAAAACGCAAAAGTCTGCTTGACAGTGAAGGTTGTACGCAGGCGCGCGTGCTTTGTGTTTCAAACTGCTTTGAAATCACCTTCTTACTTGTACCCGATTTGCTTCAAACTTCATCAGAATAATGCCAAGACACGACAGAAGTAAACGTGTGAATGGGATTCTTGATACCTTGAATACTGTTGTTATGGCAATGCATAAAACTTTTATATTTTGTTTGGGTATTTCTGAGACTCTTAGCATGCTTCAAAATGCATGAAACTCGACACACACACACACACACACACACATACACATCAGAATTGTCAGCCAGTAGACATGGGCAAAGCCTTAAAAATAGCGTGTAGGAGCGGCTAAGTAGTATCATATTTAAACATAGGCCTAGATTTAAACAGGGTTGAAAAAAGCCTTGTTGCTGAGAATTTTTCAGACTTAATTATCAAAAATGTTGAATTTTTGGCTCAACTAACTGGTAAACAGTCTCAGAGTCCTCAGAGCATTTTGGCTGAGTTTTATCCCAGAGACTCCAAAAATTTGTCTTACTTCCTTCCTAAAATAAACCTTTATAAAGGTCAACCTGATGTGATCAGACACATTTTGTTTAAAGTGAATGACTATCCTATGCATACAATACACAGTTACACACTTTAAAATGTTTAAACACATTCATAAATCTATCACCAATTATCTTTTAACAGCCAGTTAGTTTCCCAGGTGAACAATGTTTCATGTAATTAGTTATTTGCCATAATTGGACTGATGAATGTCTATAAAATACACTTATCTCCATTTGCATATGTTTGCAATTGTAGTGTCTGTGTGGTGGATTGAGAAAGTGAATGTTGGGGCTTTGGAGTACTCTAGGTTTTTGTTTGCCATGGACAAAGGGTGGACACAGTGAGTTTATTCAATCAACCTCAGTTTGTGAATGATTTGGCAAATTTATTTACCTAATGTATTTACTTTTAGGTTACACTTGTTTGTAATCTTCCTGCTCTTTTTGAGTAATGCTCATGGATTTAAAGGTAATGTGTTTTTTTTCTTGCAAAAGATTTTAAATTGTGAGAATTGTTTTTCTACAAATTTTCTATTTTGTCTAATTCACAGCTGGAGCTCATTCAGATGCCAACCACTGGTGGGGCCAACCTTCAGATAAATCTTTCTCACCTCGTGCAGTCCAGTCTTCTGTGTCAGAGGTCCCTGTGACTGGGATTTTGCCTGAAGAAGTGGGCTCTAGTTTATTCACTAACAGACCCCTGAAAAGGTTGAACTTGCTCCAATTTGTTAAAGGTGGTGTTTCCAGCAGGCATGAATCAATGTCCCATGCCCAGACCACTCCAAGCAGCTCTGTTTTAGCTTCCTTGCCTGTACCCTTAAATGAACTGCATGCAGGCCATTTGACATCACTCCAGGGTTCCTCTGGTTCAGCCGCTACAGATACTACTAGTGTGTCTACGCAAGGAGAAAGTAGCTTCCCTGCCACACTTGGCAATTCTGGCCTGTCCACCAGTGATCAAAGTTCCCCTAGTTTGTACGTGACCAGTTCCCTGGAAACCTCTGGTGCCTTGGGTCAATATAACCCGGGCTCCTATAACGAGCTCAGTTCTTCATCTGTTTCTAGTCCGTCTACCAGTGACCAGAGTACCCCCAGTTTGTATAGTTCTAGCTTTCAGGGAAATTCGGGCAGTTTTTTGGAAGCTTCTGGCTCTTTTCAAGGGGAAGTGGCAGGGCTTGGCTCTCATGTTGACTTGTTTCCCCAATCACAGGACCGCTCCAGTCAGCTTCTACCCTCACCCTTGGAGGTCTCTAGCCAGTCTACTAATGGTCAAAGCACTCCCAGCCTGTTTATGCTTGGCTCTGACAGCAGTTCAGGATCACAGTCAGCAGGTCCTGCTTCACCTCTAGACACTCAGGGTAGTCTCTCTCAAAGCATTTCTAGCCAGTCCACAAGTGTTCAGAGTTCACCTAGTGTGTCTACAAGCACCCAGAGCAGGTCTGCCACTCCATTAACTTCCAGTAACTTATTCCCTGTGCAGGGAGGTAGTAGTTCTACTTCTAGCTTATATCTGAAGCCTCAGGGCACTCTTGGTCGGTATGCCCCTGCGTCCCATACCAAATATGCGAGTATACCCATGTCGTCACACCTAGCTATTTATAGCCAGTCAAAAAGTACCTCTGGTCCTTGGTTTGAGGGCTCTACTGGCTTTGCCTCCCAGGGAATGAGTAGCACTTACAGTGGTTCTGTCCAGTCTCAAGGTACCACAAGTCAGTTTGCCTCTGGGTCTCCATCCTCCTATCCAATTGTAACACTATCCTCACCCCAAGGTTCCGCCAGTCAGTCCGCTACAGCCCAGAGTTCATGGAAGCAGTTTGCCTCTAGATATGGCACCCAGTCAGGGTCCTCTAAGCCAATCACCCTGCAGGGAAGCACTTACGGTGGATCACTCGAGCCTCAAGGTACCACAAGTCAGTTTGCATCTGGGTCTCAATCCTATCCAAGTGTATCACTATCCTCGCCCCAAGGGTCCTTCAGTCAGTCTGCTGCAGTCCAGGGTTCACGGAAGCAGTTTGCCTTTAGATATGGCACCCAGTTAGTGTCCTCTAAGCCAATCACCCTGCAGGGAAGCAAGTATGGTGGCTCACTCCAGCCTCAAGGTACCACAAGTCAGTTTGCATCTGGATCTCCATCCTATCCAAGTGAATCGCACTCCTCGCCCCAAGGTTCCTCCAGTCAGTCTGCTGCAATCCAGAGTTCACGGAAGCAGTTTGCCTCTAGATATGGCACCCAGTCAGGGTCCTCTAAGCCATTCACCCTGCAGGGAAGCACCACTGATGGTGGGTCACTCCAGCCTCAAGGTACCACAAGTCAGTTTGCCTCTGGGTCTCTATCCTATCCAAGTGCATCACTATCCTCGCCCCAAGGTTCCTCCAGTCAGTCTGCTGCAGTCCATAGTTCACAGAAGCAGTTTTCCTCTAGCTATGGCACCCAGTCAGGGTCCTCTAAGCCATTCACCCTGCAGGGAAGCACTTATGGTGGATCACTCCAGCCTCAAGGTACCACAAGTCCGTTTGCATCTGGGTCTCAATCCTATCCAAGTGCATCACTATCCTTGCCCCAAGGGTCCTCCAGTCAGTCTGCTGCAGTCCAGAGTTCACGGAAGCAGTTTGCCTCTAGCTATGGCACCCAGTTAGTGTCCTCCAAGCCAATCACCCTGCAGGGAAGCAAGTATGGTGGATCACTCCAGCCTCAAGGTACCACAAGTCAGTTTGCATCTGGATCTCCATCCTATCCAAGTCAATCACACTTCTCGCCCCAAGGTTCCTCCAGTCAGTCTGCTGCAATCCAGAGTTCACAGAAGCAGTTTGCCTCTAGATATGGCACCCAGTTAGTGTCCTCCAAGCCAATCACCCTGCAGGGAAGCACTTACGGTGGATCACTCCAGCCTCAAGGTACCACAAGTCAGTTTGCATCTGGGTCTCAATCCTATCCAAGTGTATCACTATCCTCGCCCCAGGGTTCCTCCAGCCAGTCTGCTGCAGTCCAGAGTTCACAGAAGCAGTTTGCCTCTAGATATGGCACCCAGTTAGTGTCCTCTAAGCCAATCACCCTGCAGGGAAGCACTTCTGGTGGATCATTCCAGCCTCAAGGTACCACAAGTCAGTTTGCATCTGGGTCTCAATCCTATCCAAGTGAATCACTATCCTCGCCCCAAGGTTCCGCCAGTCAGTCTGCTGCAGTCCAGAGTTCACAGAAGCAGTTTGCCTCTAGATATGGCACCCAGTTAGTGTCCTCCAAGCCAATCACCCTGCAGGGAAGCAAGTATGGTGGATCACTCCAGCCTCAAGGTACCACAAGTCAGTTTGCACCTGGGTCTCCATCCTATCCAAGTGAATCATTATCCTTGCCCCAAGGTTCCTCCAGTCAGTCTGCTGCAGTCCAGAGTTCACAGAAGCAGTTTGCCTCTAGATATGGCACCCAATTAGTGTCCTCCAAGCCAATCACCCTGCAGGGAAGCAAGTATGGTGGATCACTCCAGCCTCAAGGTACCACAAGTCAGTTTGCATCTGGATCTCCATCCTATCCAAGTGAATCACACTCCTTGCCCCAAGGTTCCTCCAGTCAGTCTGCTGCAATCCAGAGTTCACAGAAGCAGTTTACCTCTAGATATGGCACCCAGTCAGGGTCCTCTAAGCCATTCACCCTGCAGGGAAGCACCACCGATGGTGGGTCACTCCAGCCTCAAGGTACCACAAGTCAGTTTGCCTCTGGGTCTTCAACCTCCTATCCAATTGTAACACTATCGTTGTCCTCGTCCCAAGGTGTTGCTGACCAGTCCGGCCAAGCAGTTCAAAGCTATTCTGGGTACCAAAGCCAAAAGTCTCAAAGATGGCAGCCTTCACGAGGTATTCATGCCTCGGGTGGAGCTGCATCATGGGGTAGCTCTCTGTCTCAAAGCTCTCCAATGCAGAGTTTCTTTTCTTCCCTGTCGTCAGCAGGAGGCTCATCTTCAGCATATCCTGGACCATTTGTTTCTGCACAGGGTGGTAGCAGCAGACATGGTGGCATTTCTCTTCATTCTCAAAGCCCCTCTAGGAAGTACACTCCTGGGTCTCATGCATATGCCATGCTTGGTTCCTCTCCCCTAGCTGTTTCTAGCCAGTCTACCAGTGATAAGTGGTCAAATGGCCTGTATAGGTCAGAGTCTCTGGGATTCCAGGGTCTCATTGGTGTAATTGAAAGACCCTCTAGGCTCTCGTCTCAAGCTCCTGACTCTACAAGCAGTAACCAAATATCTGAGCATTTTGGGACCATGAAACGCCCCACAGGTTCAAACCTAACTCCATCTCTAGGCTTGAGTGCCCTAGAATCATCTGTTGGCATGTTCTACAGTATCCCACAGACTGCACATGCACTACGTAACTCTGGGTCAGATGTCCAGCTAAACAATAAACCATTCCTCAATCAGCGATATTCTGTAAAGGGCTAAGGAACTCTATAAAACAGCTATGTTATGCAAAGTGTCTTCCAGAATAAAAAAAATCAAATGTTTAACAGTTTTTTTTTCTTGTGCTTTTGTTTATCCTACATTCAAAGGATAGAAATCCATGTTAGTTTAGTTAACTAGGAAAAAGGGGTGCCATATAGGGTTTTGAGCACCAAATTGGTCAGTTTTTAGTCGGTTGCTGTTTAAATCGTGTTTTGTTGGCATTGACTGAAAAAATATTGGTCACTGGTACCTGCCTCAAAATCCTGATGTGTGCAATACTATTTTCTAGTCAAAGCTTTAATTTTCTCTTTTTTTTTTTTTTTGAATGTGTACCTTAAATATTTTGCACTGGTGCCGGATCTATTCGTGTTTCATTGGTTTGTCCATTGATTCAAATAGAGAAATTAATACATGGTTGATCAAATTTAAAGATTATTGGGCAAGTGAAAAACCATTGCAAAAATGAACTACTGGCCAGAGATTCAAATTAACTTTACTGAACTTAACCTGAGGTTAAAAAATTAAGCTAAAAATGGCTTTTAAACTAAAAGATTTGTTATAAACTGAAGACTTTGTAGTAGTTGATGGGGCTACAGGGTTTAAGTGGGAGAACATAAAAAAAATTGGGCTTATTTTAGGTTAATTTTCTCATTCCTCTGTTGTATTTCATTTGTCCACTGATTTAGACTGTTATGAATAGCTTGTAAATGACGTTCCACATGCTACTAAAGAGTGGTGCAGTGATCATTAAAACCAAGAACCACATAAAAAAGAACCCATTTCTCATTTGGCTGTCTTCCCCTTTTGAGACCATTTCTGAGACATTTTAGTGGGCAAAAGTGTGGATAAAAAAAAAAAAACATGGCATTGTACTTAATAAGTTCAGTGTTTGAGATACTTTGCTGATAGAAACGGACAACATGTTCTCATGAGTATTCGTATGTATTTTACCTCACGTCCATTAACTTATTTCCATAGACAATGAAACCTACAATATTGTATTTCAGAGAATTGATCCTTTCATTTTGTTATTTAAAATAAGCAATCATTTGGTTTAGCCACTAATAACATGACCTCATATGTTAATGTATTTTATTCTGCGTAGTAAAGAACAATGACTTTCACCTGTGACACATTGATTGAGCAAATTGCCAGGTGCAGGTGGAGCCATTCTGATTTACATCTGCATAAAATTGGATGGTAGCACCATAATGTGTTATTGAAACAAGCTTAGCAATAATGGGGTTTTGGCAGGTTGGATTTGGATTGGTGTTTATTCTTGCACTTGGATTTTCTGAAGCACAATGGAGAGCAAGAGCAGCGCACAATCAGAGTCCAAGTGAGTTTAGGCCTAGAACATTAGCTCAAGCTTCTCAACAGTCTGAATCCTGGATGTCTTTGGTTCCCAGCAACAATGCATTTGCACCACAGAGCTTTCCCGCTCAGGTTCCTGTCCAGACACCAGTCAGCACTGACTTAAGAAAGTCTTCTCAAGACCTTATGGGTGTTCAATTAAAAGAGCTGTTGCAGGGTCCAGTGGCAAAACTGACGTGGAGCTTTCCAAGTCTACCAGAAGAACCACAGCAGCCAGACGTTCCTTTTGAGTTGCCTTATCCTGTCCCTGCCAACAGTGTAGCTGCTCAGTGTGGAGAGAATTCAGTATATGTGGAAGTGATGAAGGACTTCTTTGGGACTGGGCACCCACTGTTGTCCTCTGGTTTTACACTGGGAGGCTGTACTGCAACTGGAGAGGATTCTTCTGCTCAAGTGCTGATCTTTGAGTCTGAACTGCATGGATGTAGCGGCACCTCAATGGTAAGGTTCTGTTGTGACCATAATCATACAGTAGGTATTCTGAACTGTCCATGTGACTGTTCTTCTTTTATTCTTTCTGTTTAGGTGACTGAGGATGAGCTTGTCTATAGGTTCAACATTATGTACACCCCACAAGAGGCTTCATATGGTGTTCCTATTGTCAGGAGCAGCGGTGCGGTGGTTGCCATCGAGTGTCATTATCCAAGGTGAGGATTCAATTAATTCAGGCTCAACGGATGTTCTAATCCTGCCATTTATGGGCAAGAGATGACCACTTGTTTAACTCCTACAGAACACATAATGTGAGCAGTGACGCCTTAATGCCCACTTGGATCCCATATGCCTCAACTGAGTTTGCAGAGGATGTGTTCGTCTTCTCCCTCAAGCTCATGACTGGTTGGTATAGCCCATACAGATTTGTAGAATGTTTGTTTGTGATTCATCTGTTAAGATTATTATATATATTTTTTCAGATGACTGGAGATTTGAGAGACCTTCTAACCAGTACTTCCTGGGTGACATAATAAATCTTGAAGCATCAGTGCGTTTGTACAGCCATGTTCCCATCCGTGTGTTTGTGGACAGCTGTGTGGCTACTGCAGTCCCTGATGTTGCTTCTGTCCCCAGATACTCCTTTATTGAGAATAATGGGTGAGAGGTGCTACCTCATGTATCCCAGCTTCCAGAAGGGTTGTGTGATTTCTAACTGGGTTCTGTTCACAGGTGCCTGGTTGATGCCAAGCTCACAGGCTCCACGTCTCACTTTATGCCCCGGACTCAAGGTGATAAGCTAAGGTTTCAGCTAGAGGCGTTCAGGTTCCAGCAAGCGGACAGTGGGCTGGTAAGCATGTCATGTAGTTGTGCAACTCTTTTTATGATATGCTGCCATGGTGTACAAACAATTGTCTCTGCAGGTCTACATCACGTGCATTTTGAAGGTGGCTGCAGCAACATCTCCAAGTTCTGAACAGAAAGCTTGCTCATTCTCTGCTAATGGGTATGTCGCCTGCTAAATACGTGTACAGGTGAATTGGTTGTGTTAACTTATTTGAGGGTTTGTTTTGTCAGGTGGGTGTCTGCAGATGATTCTGACCAGGTTTGTGGCTGCTGTGACACAACGTGTAGCATTAGAAGTGGAAGTGATCAACTGCTTGCAGGTTTGGATTAACTCTGAGAAGTTGTTATTGGCATACATGACTTTAGTTCTCACTAATCATTTGTTCCTCAGATCTACGCTGGGAGAAGGCATCTGTCGGCCCCATCAATGTTAAAGAATATGGCTATGGCCAAAAATAACTGGAAATGTCATGGTGATTTTTAATAAATGTTGCTAATATATTTGGTTTTTTGGTTGTGTTTTTACTTGCACAGATACTACACTTTTGAACTTGTCAACATGGTTTCTGGTCAGTCATGTACCACAAAAATCCTAATTCTACTGGCCTTTATGGGAGGTACCTTTTGCTCAAGCCATTTGTGGGGCTAGGCCTATTACAACT